TTGTTTGCTTTTTGGGTTTGGGGGATAATTAGGTTTATTTATTTATTTTTTAATGGAGGTGCTGGGGATTGAACCCAGGACCTCGTGCACACTAAGCACACACTCTACCACTGAGCTATACCCTCCCCTCCCCTGCTTATTACTGTTTTTTAATAACTTTATTTAACCCGGTGTTACCCATCCTATTGGATCAGAGTATTGGATCAAGAACCATCATACACATGATGATACTAAACACATACTGACAGCCTGGAGAACATTCTGAGGAGCGTGCTTTGGCCAACTCTGTCCTTCCTTGACGCCTCCGTGTGCTTGGCCTCCAAGTTCCCGTGGTGCTAGGCTTTCTGGGCACCGGCCGTGTGGGCCATTGTCCCCATTCTGTGGATGGTGCAGAGGCACTTGCTGCAAAGACCCCCGCCCCAGGTATCTCCCCCTCCCCGTCCTCCACACGTGTTAGATTCTGAGAGGCAGGGAGGCCGGGGTGACTCAGCGGGGTGGTGCGGGTGGAATCTCTGAACTTGCGGTGCAGACGTCAGCCAGAGCCGCAGGTCTGACGAAGGACGAGGGTCCCCTTCCACGGCGGCTGGCCCGTGGTTGGCAGCCGGTGCTGGCTGTCGGGCTTAGTTCTGCTCCGGTCTGGCCTCTCCGCAGGCAGTTAAAGGAAGTCTATAATAGACATGGTATTTTGCTTATCAGGAGATAGGATCAGTATTTATAGAGCTAAGCATTTCATTTATGATCAGTAAAAATGTAGCTTTATCCTTTTGACTTAGCCATATGGACTGTTGGTTTTGTTCTGTAAATGTGGCCAGTTGAGAAGGAAGTCTATGAAAACATCGCCCTGATGATTCTTTCTGACTCTGAGACCTGCGTATTAGAGTGTTGCTTCACCTGCTTATACGTCACAGTAAAACTCAGGGAGAAGTCATGAAGAGGTGAACCTGGTGAGTCTAAAGCCTGTCCTACTAAAGTCAAGTTTCCCAGCCTTGGTGGTATTGATG